AGGAGAAGGATTGGGATTGGGGGGGAGGGGGGAGGCTGGGAAGAGATGTGAACGGTAAACAAAGGAGGAGGCTGCAATGCTTCGTAAGAAATGTACGCATTATCCTGCCCATGTAATTGTAACTCCTCTGTACAATATGTTCACAAATAAAATTAAATTAAATTAAAAAAAAAAAAAGAGAGGCTGTCAACAGTCTGGACACTGTCCTGATCATATCCTGGTCTAATATTAAATACTCTTTACATTAATTTGTTCTCTAGGCTAAGAGTTCAGAAATAAGCACTTGCATACTTTTTGGTTTCCTTATTTTTATTTTTTGAAATCAGGGTCTCAACCAAGAAGCTGCTCTACCACCTGAGCCATGCCTCCAGCCCTAACTACTTTACTTTAAAAAAATTATTGTAAAGGTGATATACAGAGGTTATAGTTACCTAAGTCAGATCGTTACATAAGTCAGAAGGGGTGTCACCCTTTCCCTCATTTTCTCCCAGTTTTTCCCCTCCTGACTCCTCCACCCCCAAGTTGTATAGTTCATTTACAACATAGTGTCTAGTGAGTATCACTGCTGATTTCTTTTTAAAGTACATACTGCTTAAGGGGATGAAGACACGTGATATTCAGAGACTAGGAAGATGTATATGGCCAGCCACTTAACATGGCATATGTACTAGAAAAGCATTTCCTATAAAAAATAATAGCTGCAAATCTGCTATGGCAGTGTGAGGATATGTCTTGCCTATGTTCTTAGGTGTCCAGTATCAGCTTTTTATGCCAGTACCTCAAGGGACTGAAAAGGTTGGCCTTTTCCTGGACCGTTAAAGGACTAGGTTCCTAGGAGTTGCCAACCCTAGCAGGAATTACTTTGAATTCACAGAGCCAGCATCATTTTTCCACTGTCTTCAGAGGTCATCAGGACTATGCCCCTACCCTACTTCCCTTGGCCTATCCTTCCTATAAGTGATGCAACTCTGGATCCCGGATTAATTTTACTGCCTATAGTACCTCCTGCTGTCATTCCTGATATCAGTATCCCACCCAACTGGTGGCCCACTGAAGATTTGTCTCAATTTCATGTTAATACCTCATGCCCATGGTTATGTCTCATCATTCCCATCAACTTCACAACCTCCAGACCTACTGAATCCTATCTTTATATGCCCATTTAAGCTGCTCAGCTACTACCCATTGTCAATAAAGCTGTAGTCTACCTATAATCCATTGCCTCTTATTCTTGTTCAAATCCATCAGCTTCCCTTATCCAGCTTAGACTAGTCTATCATCATTTCCTTACAAACACCTCAGTTTCTTTGCTTCTCTCACCCTCTCTTCTAAGACTGGTATAACCTAGCCATTTTGATTCTGTGCCTGCAACAGAATGACTGAAGCTTGCTGAGTAAAATCTATACAACCTTAGAGCTAGTTTGACTGAACCTCTGGCTCAATCAGGGACTTAATATCACCAGGAATTCTAGTTTCACTAAACTTGTTTTCCTATTTTATTGATAATCCCATGATTTATCTCTCTTTGAATTGATGGCTTTAATTCTTGATTCATTGAGAGTGTCACCATATTTGTGTCTAGGTTTGTCCTTCTATTTCAGTGCCTCTCCAAGTTCAGGCATTGGCCTATGCTCTGGATGCTGCCATCGCCTGCCTGCAGGATATCATTCCTTCTGTTACCACCTCTGTCATTTTTTTTTTCTTTCATATGAGTTTTTCCCCTCTTAACACACAAACAGGTTCTACTATTTTCCCAAATAAAAAAAACCCAAACTTAGCCGTGGCCCCCACTGTCTCCTTTTAATGTCTTAGAGAGTCCTCACATAGCTCCTTATTTCCTTCTAATCCCTCTCACCCTAGCTTGTGCTTTCTCCCACTGCTAGTGGCCAGTGGCAATGAGCTCTCTGCTGCCCACTCCAGTGGGCACTTTCCACTCTGTCCAATTCTGCAGCCTGGATAAAGTAAGTTCTCTTTTGGAAACTCACTTCTCTGGGATTTCAGGACCCACTGTGCCTTCTGCTCTGCAAAGTAGAAGCTGCTGCTTCCAGGCTCTGTCCTGGGCTCTTCCCCTTCTTCCTGTCTGTTCCCAGACTGTCTGCATAGTGCAGTGGCTCTAAAAACCATTTATAAGGTAAATGTCTCATTCCGACTTGAAATTTCCTACAGAATCTCAGATTTATGGACCAAAAGAGAACCCTGATTTCTCTTCACTCTAAACTTTTCTCCTGCTTTTCTTCATCTATTCTTTTACTCAGGACACAATAGTAGGACAATCCTGTTCTCTTTCCTACCTACACCATTCTGCCATTAAGTCTGATCCATCATTTTGGCTTGATCACCATGGTGACTGCTCTAGCTTGAACTGCTATCCCCTGGTTCCTTATCTTCTCCCTTTGTCTACTTTGCTTGTCTACACAGAAGCTGGGACCATCAACAGGTTTCAACTACACTTGGAACAAAATCCAAATTCTTTCCAGAGTCTCTGAGACTTACCATGCTCCAGCCCCATCTATGTCTTGTCTTTTGCTCTTGTAACTTTGATTAGTTCATTATTTGCTGAGTTTATCAGTCTTCTCTTAGGTCCTGGAACATATCAGTTGCCTTCCCTCTTCTGGTGCTCTTACTAAGGTTCTTTGCCTTACTCTGGTCTCACCTTAAATGCCACCTGTGGAAGGAGATCTCTTTTGACTGTTCACTAGGTAGGTGGCTGTATACAGGTAGCCTATCTATTTCTGTTTTTTTAACACTTTATTTTAATGTGGCTTGTAAGATACTTTCCTTTGTCGACTTTTTAAAATGTAATGGTTAGATGTTAATCCTTGTCATCCTACTACTGCACTATCATTTCTACTTTTCTTCCCCCAGATTGTGTATTTAACACTGAGCACAATGCCTAGAAATATATTAGGTACTCAGTAAATATACAATTAATGAATGAATAAATAATGCACTTAAATATTTCATTTCTTTCTGTATAAGTACTTCATTAAAATCTACTCTGAGATTAGTCTAAAAATGTCTAAAGTATGTGGAATTTTTTTAATATATAAACTGAATTTTTCTGAAACAGACATGAGATATGGAAATTCAAACTTTTATAATTTATGAAGAGGCTATACTGTGTGTATGCTGTGTGTGCATGTGTACGTGCATGAGTGCGTGTGCGTGTGCGTGTGTGTGTGTGTACCAGTTCTGGAGCTTGAATTCAGGGGCCTGGGCACTGTCCTTGAGCTTTTGTGCTCAAGGCTACCACTTTATCCAAAGCTCTTCTGGCTTTTTGGTAGCTATTTGGAGATAAGAGTCTTACGGCCTTTCCTGCCTGGGCTTGATTTGAACCATGATTCTCAGATGTCAGCCTCCTGAATAACTAGGACTATAGGCATGTGCCACTGTGCCCAGTGTGACTATATTCCTTTAACAATTATTTTTAAAGTTCGAAGTTGCCACAGATAACATAATCCAGAACATACCTACGGATTCCTTTTGGTGTTTCTCCAATTATGAAGGTGGTCTGGTCTGTCCGGTGAACTTGTTTCTTTCTTTGGCTTATCGGGTATGCAAGGTAAAGGGGAAATGAAGTGCTTCCTTCATTTGGTTGAGGGTCTTTTGTTGTATGTGCTGTTCTATCTGTACTTATTTCTTCTTCATATGTCTGATAAAAAGAGAAGGAAGCAAAAACTTAGTCTGAAAAAAAGTTTTGGGTCAAAAAGACAGAGCATGTCTTACTTTCTCCCCCCAATAGCCTCTGTGATGAAGTAGGTCATATTAGCCAACTTGGGATTATCAACAAACTTAACCTAGATCTTACAAAGGATTAATAGGGAAATATGGTGTGGTACTTTATTTGTTAAGACTTTGGGCATACTGATATACCTGCTGATAGTTACTATCAAAATTGATGGCTATATACATGATGGCTTAAAAATGGTCTCTCTAAATTATTTATTTAGCTTCCTCACAGGGAGGGTTAGGTGAGACTTTGGCAGTAATCTTCACAAAAGTGGTATCAGAAGTGGAAATGGAAATATGAGCAGGCTAGTTGAAAGCATTTCCTTTTAATTCGCCTGTAGACCAAGGTGATGGTAGGATCCCTGGTCTTTTTTTGAAAACCCACTGCTTGACACCAATTGGAGTCTAGATTCCTCTATCACTTTACTGTGTAATCCTTGGGATTTAAAAAAAAATTATTTGTTAAATTTTTATTGTAAAGGTGATGTACACAGGGATTATAGTTAAATAAGTCAGGTACTGAGTACATTTCTTTTGGAACAGTGTCACCCCCTCCCTCATTTTTCTCCCAGATTTTTCCCTTGTGACCCTTTCCTTGCCAAGTTGTATAGTTCTGAGTTCTTCTTCTTTTTTGTTTTTTACTTCGAGCCTCATGATCTAGGGGCAGAGGATTTGGGTATCAGGATCTAGGGAATGATCCCCAAATTATGTTAAAAACTCAGAATTCAACCAAATTTTTGTTATATGTTCCAGCAGTAGTAATAAGCATTTTGTACTTCTCATGTAGTATCAAGGCCACCAATGACTCTATGGCATATGGGGAAGAACTTTTCAAGCATCATGCTGCACATACAGAGACTTGGCAATGAATTAAGAGTGTGGGCGTAGATCATTTGCTATTAATAGTAGAGTGCTGCAGATCATTTGTTATTAATAATAAAGTAATGCAGTTTGTGAATACTTCCATCTTCTTCTTTTTTGGGGGGGGGTTTGTTTTTGGTGCCAGTCTCAGGGCTTGAACTCAGGGCCTGGGCACTGTCCCTGAGCTTTTGTGCTCAAGGCTAGTACTCCACCATAGAACTATTTCTGACTTTTTAGTAGTTAATTGGAGATAAGAGTCTTCCAGACTTTTCTGCTTGGGCTGGCTTTGAACCGTGATCCTCAGATCTCAGCCTCCTGAGTAGCTAGGATTTCAGGTGTAAGCCTGAAGGGTGAAGCAATGCTTCACCTTTTTTTTAGTAAATTATAGTGGGTCCCCTACAACCACATAATTTTCATCCTCTCCTACTCTGATATGCTTTCTTGAGTTATATAGGGGAGAAGTGTTTTCACACATAGAAAGGACAAGTAGAAGTACGTGCTTCTAGAACTGAATTTAATAAATGAAATCACTTTCTTTATATGGTCTAAGACAACAGGTCTGAAGCTTTTTGATCTTAGGCCATTAAAGAGCTTTGGATCAGGTGCATTACAGCTGTTGAAAACTTAAAAGGACTTATTCACTTATTAAAAATAACAATCCCATTGCTTGTTAGCATAAACAACTTTTTTTTTTTTTTGGTCGATTGTAGGGCTTGAACTCTGGGACTGGGTGCTGTCCCTCAGCTCTTCAGCCCAAGGCTAGTGCCATACCACTTGAGCCACTTCTGGCTTTTTCTGCTAATGTGGTGCTGAGGAATCCAACCCAGGGCCTTATGCAAGCAAGGCAAGCACTCTACTACTGAAGCTACCTTCCCAGCCCCCATAAACAACTTTTCTAAAACAAAAAAAAAAACACTTTTTTTAAACTAGTGAGTAAAGTGGCTTTATATATCTAGCTTGATGAGACATAGCTGGATTCTCCTATCTCTGCATTCAGTCTATAGTTTTGGTCAAAATAAATGAAAGAATTAGTCTTATACAGATACAAAGTTAGGGCTAGGAAGGAGGCTTAGTGGTGGAGTGCTTGCCTAGCATGCATGAAGCCACGGGTTCGATTCCTCAGTACCACATACACAGAAAAATCCATAAGTGGTGCTGTGGCTCAAGTGGTAGAGTACTAGCTTTGAGCAAAAAAGAAGCTCAGGGACAGTGACTAGGCCCTGAGTTCAAGCCTCAGACAGAACTGGCAAAACAAAAACAAACACTGATATAAAATTAGAAAATAAAAAATTAATAGTTTTCCAGATAATTATGAGTATCCCTTCTTGATACCTTTACTAAAACTGAAAGTTCATTTTACAAAAAATAAAATCTATCGGTAAAACAACAGTTAATACTGTTAAAATTAAAGGTCACTGGTATATCTGTACCTTGAGTGAATCTTTTCCCCATGACTAATGTTCAATATCATTTATTGGTCTTTCAGAAAATATCAGTAACAAGCCAAGTGGAGCGACTCATGTCTACAATCCTAGCTACCAGAGAAGTGGCTCAAGGCGGGCATAAAGAAAAAGTTTGACACTCCTCCTACGCCAACTCAACAGAAAAATCTGGTTTGGTACCACACATAGCTGAAAGTATCTTATAGATATACAGACATTGTATTGCAAAATACAATGTCATAAGTGCTAAGACATTCACACAAAGTAAAAACAACAATAAAAAAATTTAAACTGACAATGCAAGTCAGTTCAATGGGTAGACATAGGTGAGAATGAATTTTAAGCAAAAGAATAAAAAGTGTAGAGGTGTAAAAGTAGGTTTGGAGAATAGTTCACAAGCTGAGGCTGTCTAGGAAGCCTATTCATCTTAGTATCTCTTGTAGTCTAACACAAGGTCTAGTATATACTGAGTGACAATAGTCCTGAACAAGTGTAGGCTAGGGCCAAGTTAAGATAGGTCTTGCATGTCATGGAGAGTCACTGGTGCAAACTGGCATTACAAGTTTGATGTTTACAGCCAATAATGTGCTTGGTCAAAAGGGATCCAGTAGGTGCATGCATGAGCTTATCTTCTGGTTTTCTGTTCTCTGTATGCCCCAGTCTACTGGATGGTGCTACCCACAGCCAGGGCAGTCTTCCCCATTCAGTTTACCAACTTACATGTCAACTGTCTCTAGAAACACCCTCACAGACATCCCCAGAGTTCATTATGCTTTACTACTTTTCCGGTCATCTCTCAATCTAGTCAAGTTGATAACCAAGAATCACTAATTTGTAAAGGGAAAAAGTAATAAATCATGCCAAATGCCTGTGGAAGAGTAGATACTATCAACAGTTGCTATATATTCATATATGTTTTATTTTGTTTTGTTCACACTAGGGTTTAAACTCAAGGCCTAGAGCTTCCTCAGTTTACTTGTTTGGCTGGCACTCTACAATGTAAATCACACCAGACTTTTGCTGGTTATTTAGTCTCTTAGACTTTTCTACTAGGGCTTTCTTTGAACCCTGATCCTTTAGATTGCAGCCTCTGGAGTATTGAGGATTAAAGATATGAAACACTGGCACCCAGCTTACACTGTATTTCTCGAGTATTGACAGTTTAATTATCTAAACAGTATATTTTGAAAGTGAAGGATATATTCAATCCACTTGGTTGTTTTTTTGGGGAGGGGGAGAGAATCTAACTGCTAAAGTGAAGAAAAGTTTTCATATATTAATTATCTTGAAAAATTAAAAGATTCATTGGTCATATTGGGAAAGTAAAGTTGAAGTTTCCAAATAGAAGTTAATGGAATGAAACAAGGAAGAAAGCTCACTGTAATTGCTGAGCCCCAGGCCCAGTGCTTAGCCTGTCAGTTTAAAACATGAAATGAAGGATTGGTATCTCCAAGAATCCTCCAAATCCTGAAATACTATGATTCCCTACCCTCACTTTTGCTTTATCCTGTGATAAAATCAGAATTCATGTATATGGAGGCAGGATGATCAAAGGAAATGAAAGGAGTTTTTCCGAAGGGACCAGGGGTAATTGCTATCATCGTCATCATAATGGGAAGAAACAGAATTTAAAAATGGCTGTTAAGTACTTACCATTCTTTAAGTCACTGGGTAAAATCAATCAGAGTTCAATAAGACTTTCTATTTCTACACTTTTATGTTACTACATAAAAGGCATTACCAGAAGAAACAGTATTGTGTAAGCTATTTAAAATATTCTAATTATTCTAAAAAGAGAAACTGTTCAAAACCAACTATCTTCTATGCAGTCAGAACAATAAGCAGCTAGAAGAGTTAAATCAGTTCCTAATAAGCAAAGATTATGCTTGCCAATCTGGCCAATTGTTAATCAGTTAATGATTCCTTTCAAATACATTTTCTACCTACAGCATTTTTCATAGGAATTCTGCCACAAACTAAGGCAGATCCTTCATTTATGAAATCTGGATATCTTTATAAAGTCTTCAATTGTTCTTTGTTTGAGACAGAGTCTCACTATTTAGTTCATTCCTCCTGCCTCTGCCTCCTGAGTGCTGCAATTACAGATATGTGCCATTAAGCCTAACTCCTTTTTTTTACATGATGGTACTGGGGCGCTTCTTGCTTAGTTTGGCTTTTTCACTTATGGCTGGAATTCTACCACTTGGGCTATGCCTTCAGTTCCATTTTTTTGCTAGTTAACTGGCGATAAGAATCTCTATAATTTGCCTAGGCTGGCTCTAAACAGCGATTCTCAGATCTTAGCCTCCTGAGTAGCTAGAGTTACAGGCATGAGCCACTGCTGCCCAGCTCAAGCTTGATTCTTACAAGGTATTCTAAAACAAACTATTATTTGTACTATTAGTAACAAAAAATAATAACAGGCAATTATTTAGACTCATAAAAAGATTTTTACTGCTCACCTCTACTAGCAAGAAATAACTATAATTGCAATAACAAAAATTTTGATTATATTTTGAATAATTTCCATGTCTTTTTTGTTTTGCAAGTAATTGAATGTGTTTTATACACATCGAGTCATCAGACACCTTAGTCCATGAATCCTAGTAACTCCACTGTG